CAGAGGTCAGTGGTTCGAATCCCGTACAGGCCTGAATTTTTTTCAGGTCTGATTTTCACTATTGCTTAAATAGTGCTTTACTGCGAAGGATCGTGCACATATAAAAAGCAATTATTAGCCTTGTTAGTTTAATTAGGGAACACCAAGTGATAATAATTGGCTCTGTCGATGCAAGGTATGAAAAGAATGATTGTATTCTTCTTTCAAAGTTCTATTCTAACATGAAGGGGTGAAATTTTCCCGGAAGTTTGAATGTGTTGACTGACTTAGTAGTCGCCTTACTCGCCAGAAACGAGAGATCAGTTGACCAGAGAGACAGTGTACGAATTTACAGTCAAACCTTTTGTTCTGTTTTGTTTTCATGTTTGTACTTTTCAAGGTACCGGATCATGGACAGCAACGAACAAGCGCCTGCTTCCAGTCGGGAACAGGAAATGCCCACAAGCCAAATGAATTTAAGTATTCCCTCAGAGTTTTCGCTGAATGAGCCATTAAATTTTGGGTCATTTCCTTTCGAGCAACAGTCTCGATACACAAAGATGTTGCCAGTTTCTTCTGTATCAAGGACAACCTCTTCCTGTTATCCTAATGGGCCAATCGGGCCAATCGCTGCCCAGAATCTCGAGCAAGAAGTACCTCCATATATGGAAATGATGTCTTCACGTTCACGCTCTAACCACGACATCTTAAGTAATCCCTACACCCCCCATGGGAGAGGTAAGAGCAGCGAGGTCGTTTGGTGCAGTAGCAAAATGAAAATCCCTCGGTATGTGTTTCATCCGAACGAAGCACTGCGACCACAGCACCACCTCCTTAATCCAAACAACTCATTCCAGCCCGAGGAACCTTTGAACTGCAACAACATCCAGATGTCCGATGGTCCTGAGGAGGTTGAAGGCAGTGCCAACATGCTTCGGTCAGACTTCAGACTGAGTAACTCGAGCGAATACAGCCAGTTACAGGAGCAAACCGCAATGCAATGGACTGGTAATTACGCGGCTTTGTTTTTAAACCAGATGGCGCAGTCTGTGAATAGGAACAAAGCTTTTAACAACAACCCCTTTCGTTATATACCAATTGAGAATCAAGGTCAGGAAAGCACAAATAACGATAGCCTCCGTGTAGTACCACCCCAAGGACACGGGCAACCACTCCTCGCTACACTGAACACGAGTGGCGCACAGGCCACTAGGGGAAGTAGTTCAAACGCATCTCTCAATGGTGCTTGCCATAATTTCACTTTACAATGCCCCAACCAAGCATGTATATTCACTCAGAACGCCACTCCCTCCCACGCATATACTGGGGCGACAAACTTTGCACCTTATCCTTTATCTATCCAGCCATCTGTGCCCTTCTCTCCGATACTCAATGCTATGGGTCCAGTCAATTCAGATGAATACTCGAGAGAAAGGACCAACCAAGAGGCGATATCGCATACGTCTTTCTCAACAACCAATCGATGTAGTTTTACACCGGTAGGGTACGCACTTAATCACGTACCCCTCTTGAGCTTTCCACGGGGGCCAGGTTATCAAGCTTCCGTTTCGTTTAGTCCCAGAAAAATTCCGCTTCTACAATACCCAGACCCACAAGCCATGTTCCGCGAAGCAAACCTATTGACTCTTGACCAACCGAATGAGGATCGCGTCGCTCCCTACACAAAAACGGAGGGTAGTATTCCTAAACCTTCCACCACTCCAGGGGAATCGCTCCCGCAAACTGACGAGACTCCATCTGAGAAAGAAGATACTACCGCAAGTGTATCTGACAAAAGAAGCCGCCAGACCCGCCAATGTAATATTTGTCTTAAAATGTGCGCCGGTGCCTCTTCCCTCAAGGTTCATCTTCGAACGCATACAGGAGAAAAACCCTTTACATGCAAGGTTTGCCAAAGAACGTTCGCGCAAGCTGGGGGACTGAAATCGCACATGCGCAGTCACACAGGAGAGCGTCCTTACAAATGCGATGTCTGCGACAAGTTTTTCACCCATTCCACAGCTGTCAACAATCACAAGCGCACGCACACAGGAGAAAAACCATTTGTGTGTGGCCACAAAGGCTGCAGTAAGAAATTTGCTGATCGGTCAACTCTTACCAAGCATAACAGAGTCCATACAGGGGAGAGACCATTCGAATGTCCACATTGCAAAAGGAAATTTACCCAGCTGGGGAATATGAATAAACATTTGAGGTGCAAACATATTGACAAGAAAAAATGATTAGTTTATCAGTAATTACAATTATAATGCCATTTTCTGGCCTTTGGTGTTACGGAAGTTTAGTGGTTTTTATAAAGAGATTCAGGTTTCTCCACTCGCATTTCCGCCGCCAATGTTTTTAAAAAACGTCCATAGAACTAACTGCTACGCGCAGAGACTGTTTCTTTAACGTCGTAGCGTTTTCATTACAAGCTGTTGTTTGACACAATGATTTTGGACTTTTAAAAACGGTCCACAACCCTTCATGCACTGAGTGATATGTTTTGTAGGATCATGAGTTAAAAACTAATTGCAAGGCAAGGTTCTCCTGATGAAAGTAAGATACTTTGACCGTAAGGCTATTTTGGTCAGACGCTCTGATTTTACTCCGCAAACAACAGGTTGGGACACCACTGAAAGTAGATGGCCACAAAAAGCCGACAAACTATTTTAGAGAGTTCTAAAAGTGGGAAATTAAACAGTATTGAATATTTTTTAGATAGAAAACCTTTGTTACAAAGATAGCCTACCAAGAGAGGATATGAATGAGTGAGTGGCACTGTCGAGCATCGGGATCCCCGAAAGGAGCGACTTTTTTGTGTCCCGTCTCCCATTGTCTTCCCTAACCTGATTGCGGGGTATGATGATGGGTGTGTAGAAAGTCGTCCATCATTCTTTTCTCCTCCTCGCAATCCAATAGCGCAAGCATGATGAGGACGACTGGGTACGAACATACAGCTGAAGTTGGCGACAGTTGAGCAGTTCGTTCGAGAATTACCCAGAATCCCTAGGTGTTTCCCAGTGGCTAATTACTGGCGCATAAGAATGTACTATGACTTAGAAAATTTAAGTCAAAAGACAGACGACCACACCCACACCACTAGGTAGTCTTGTTCAATGGTTTAACCCTTTCACTCCCAAGATCTAGTGTTCAATTCTCCCCTCCCACTGCTACACATTTCCCTGTAATTTAGTGATGACAATTTGGTGTTAGATCAATATTACAACTTCTACCTGATAAGATTTGAGTATTCTCATGACCTATTTACTGGGTATTGTGCGGATATCATACAGATATCTTGATGAGGAGGTTGATGTTAATCATTTCTGGGAGTTAAAGGGTTAATACACAACACAGTAAAAACTTTGAAATAGTAAACATGTTCTGCAAGCGACTTATCCACTTTAAAATAGTAATAATCAACGTGTATTCAAAACAGTCTTCAATGTTGAGTTTTAAAGTAAGTTATTACAATAGTTGAGTTTCTATAAAGGTTCAGGAGTAGTAGTAGTTACTTCGTAAAAATCAAATTGTACCATTGATGTAATTAGGCATGTTCACGTATAAGTAAATAAGTAAAACCAAGTAAATGCAACTAAGTTAAGGTACCACGATAAAATAAATGGATCTTGGGTTTAAATTTTTTCAAGGTATTTCCTGCCCATCTTTGCTGGTAGGTCCAACCCTTTTGATTCACGAGAGTATTCGTGTAAAATGATTGGTCAGTTTTGCTGTGATGTTGTTGGCAACAACTATTCACTTGATTCTGATGATGACTTCCGCACAGGTCGTCGAAACGGCAGTCACTACCACTGACAACAGTCCTTCTCAGGGCTACACTCACCCGGACGATCACACTACACTTTAACACACAATGCTAAAATAGTCTTTAGCCTCAGTAAGATCGGGATAATTAATTAAGGTGCCTTTATCTTGAAACAACACCAAATTCTACAAGCTTATTTTCAGAACCGGAAAGGAGACAAACTTTTGGATCTTAGGAGGGCGAAGATTAAACAGGAAACACCGAAACTTAGATCCCCAAGAGCCCTAATTGGGCGCAATTGAGATTCAAACTCTCGTTCATTACTCCTCGTACAATTTCCAAACAAACCTTTCAAGAAAAGACTTCACGGATCCATCACCGATTCCTTGCTTGCTTTGTACACCAAGAGGTTCAATTTGGGTGGAGCTTCATATTTTCTTCCTTGACGGCGGGCTCAATATAGTGGGAAGTGGTGGAGGATGGGAAGTGGTGGAGGATGGTGCAGCCAAGAACGATGATATACTATTTGGATCTTAGAACGGCCAGAATTAAACAATAACCAACTGATAGTTTCTGCTTTAACCATATAAAACTATTTAAACCTAAGTCTCGAAAACCCTGATCAGACGTCATTCGGTTGAGGTCAAACCTAGCCTACGTGTAGCCGTACCCACCCCCCGAGAAAAACGGGGAGGGAACGTAGACGTTCCCTCTCCGTTTTTCTTGAGGGGTGGGTACGGCTACATGTAGGCTAGGTCAAACCCTACGCTTATTTTTCTACCAACATACTAAATAAAAAAGTTACCTCGAACTCATAAAAGACAATCGCTTTTCACAACATTCGGTCGTCCACCTGGTTAACACTTTCTCTGCCGTGTACTCTTATCAAAATAGTGTCTTTTGATAAAAAAAAGAATTGCTTTGGTAATTTGCACTTTCTTAATATTTGATAAATTCTTCATTTTTTTCCAATTTTCTAGCCGCCATTACTGGTCACATGACTTCGCCAAGGCAGCGCGCGAGCCAGAAATGAGGGCATAGTTACCACTAATCTAGATCACAGCACTAGTCCCTGCACGTTTAAATTTCTTTGTCTGTAAATCTTCCCGGCGGACAATAGGCATATAAGGATCCCAGAACTGACGAGTAAAGAACCAACAATTACCACTACTAAGAAAACACCACTTTGCATCACGTGAATTGAGACGGGGACAGGCTTTTCGATTGGCAATAAATTTGTGGCGTTGATCATGAAACCGAGAGCCCAGCCGAGGGAAAGACCATTAACCTGCGAAGAAAAATATTCAATGAAATTGGGACAATAACGCTACCTACAACGAAACAGACCGATATTAATTTTATATAAGGATTGATCGCTCCGGTTACCTTACAGAGCGATTTCAAAGGTTTTCTCAACGTGCTGAGACGAGAAAACTCTTGCTTCGAAAGGTCTGAATGCAGGTTGTCTCTCAAGGAAACTTGTTAGCATGGCAGTTTCCAAATTGAGCCAAGAAGAAGGAGGTCTTCTTGTGGGGTTGAAATCAATTAAGCAAGGAGCACCCATGCTCTTGATACATCTAAGTAAACCCATCTCGGACTTTCAGCTTTACCGGCCCGAGGCCAAGAAGGAGGGTTCTCCCCTACGAAAATAAACTAGAACGACCCGGGACTTTTCCATTATCTTGCCTGATAAAGGAGGGTAAAAAGGCATATGGGGAAATTAATCCTTGAAATTGTCACCCAAACATCGGTGGGTACCTTTTCATGGTGGTGGGGGGGGAAGAGGAGGGGGGGTTAGCCACCCCATAGAAGAAGACGCTTCAGAGATTTTTCCTTTACTATTCCTCAGTCAAATTTGCACCACAAAATGACCACTGCAACGGCAACTGTGTCAATAACACAGGGAAGATGAGTGCAAGAAGGAACCGAGAAACCTTTAATATAAGGGTGCGCGAACTAATTCAAAAAGTGAAAAAATGATCATCTCACTCACCGTGCCATTAAACTGCAAGTTGGCTGTTGAATTCTGAAAGTGGTATCCCCTTGAAAGGATCGTGAAAACATACTGTGCATCGAAGCAGTAAAACGGCAAGAAATATGGAAACTTGGTGGGGATAGTTTTAATCTGTGGAAAAAAGAGAAGTAATTTCTTTTTACAGTGTATAACAGGTTTATGTTTTTGGATAATTGGTCCATCAGTGGCTGGTCTGAGGAAATGGTCAGCCGGGATGGTCCACCCGTCAAACAGCCGCTCATGGCCAGTGGGTCTGTCAGTCAGCCCAACCGTTGGTCATACGGTCAATAGTTCGGTCACTTCTCTCGATGTAAGGCTCTAAAGTTTCTCTATGTTCTTTGCATCTGAATATGACAAAAGCACCTTTGACAAGGGTCTATCTTGAAAATCCGGCCATTCAGTATGACGTTAAAAATCTGCAAAAAGAATGCTACGACAGTCCGAACGTTCGCGCGAACGTTTTGTTCTTAACCACCTCGTCTTATGGTCTGACGTCCTGTCGCTTTCTTATTCTGCGATGTAGAAGGCTTTTGGATTTCGAGTCGTAAAACTAAGACCAGAGTTCAATAAACGGTACAAACACAGCAAAAGAGAATATCACAATGACCCACTGAGGGCCACGAGAACTCAGAGGGAACATATATATGACTGATTGAAAGTGCGAAAAAATGCGCAGGACCAAGTCACCGAAAGGGTGAAGTTCTGTATCTGATTCATAACAAGAAAAATAAATCTTTGGGAACTGATGACCATGATAGCCGGAGAGCAATAAAGGAACATGAATGCAGTCTCGGAATATTTTAGACATCCGCTCGAAAACCGTTGGTCTACCCTATCTGTTGCTGTCAAACCTCCCAGAGTTCCAGAGTCGTGACTTGCTGCAGGCGTCTGCTGCGGAGGTGTCTCCTCCTCTAAAAATGCTTCTCTAATTAACAATTATTCCACGAGCGCGCGTTGGATATGAGATGATAGATAGCCAACGAGGTGCTACGCGCCTCGTTGGCTATTAATCATCTCATA